TGTGTGTGTGTCATTGCGTGTCGTGGTTGTGAGTGCGCGTGCGTCATCGTTGCATGCCTGTAACACCACTGGCTGCCTGAGGCAAGCAGCCATCACAAGATGGTCTGGCATCTACAAGGACCCCAAGCATCCAGGCAACTCTTCTTGAGCTGAACGGCAAGAGTCGTTGCGCTCCCTGCTGGACCCCCGCTGTGCCGAGCCCTAGTCTTTGCTGCAGGCTGCGAGCGTGGCATCACAAAGGATGGCGCCACTCAGCAGCAATGATGGGGATGCTGAGATATCTAGAGGTTTGGGTTTTCTTTCAGGTCCCTGCAATGAGGACAGTACTCTATCCCAATTCCTCCTCAAGTAAGGTCCTTGTCGAAGATGTCCCACTGTTATCCCGGGCATGTGCTGGGTGAGAAGAGTCGAAGAGCCAATTGATTGTCCGTACACCCCGCGGCGTGACAGGGTTGCTTCTGGTTGAATTCGGGATTTCAGGACCCCTCTTTCTGTGTGAAAGGTACTGCAAGGTGTTGTTCTCGAATCCGCAACCTTATGGTTTTTCAGCCTGTGACCCGTCTACCCGCCGGCTTGCTGCGACGAGCAACGATGCCTTACTAAGGGTATCTCTTATTCAGGGATGAGAAAAAGTGACCCCTGGTTTTTGATATGGGTAGTTGTCAAAATTANNTTTGGGGTACCTAAATAATAGGTGCCGTATTATAAAAAGGACTCGAAAAGGGACCATAATTTTGACAACCACCCATATGTTCTGAAACGTCCATCTCACAGACCACCTAAACCCTAAACCCTAAACCCTAAACCTTAGCGTGCTGACAAGGACGAGTTTGTCATCTCCGGCACCAGCTCTGTCGACGGAGCCAAAGAATCTTGGCGTTCTTCTGGGCTTTTAGGACTTTGACTTTTTAGATTTCTATATAACTATGACAAGGGTGCTAAAAGTTTAACTTTCAGGAGGGGCGTTCTTCTGGTTGGCTTTTAGGACTTTAACTTTTTAGATTTCTATATAACTATGATAAGGGTGCTAAAAGTTTAGCTTTCAGGAGGGGTTCAGAAGTCAGCCAAGGAATGTGAGAAGGACATGAAGACCAAAAAATGGTACCTCGTCGCCACGAAAGGCTCGGAGGGGTGTAGGGGCATGAGGGCTTAAAAGCGGACGAGAGAGGACGAGAGAGGAATGAGTCTCTGAATGCTCCTCAAAAGCACACTCTAGCTTGGGTGCTGCCCCGACTCAGTAACAGTTCGATAATATTTATATTATGGATATATTAGGCCCTTAATAGTAGCCCTATTATAGACTGTTACTGTATGGGGGCAGTACCCAAACTCTAGCCGATGCAGGCGTCCATCTTATCTACAGCAGTCCGGGAGTAGCGGTTGTGGGGCGGTCATGCCCTCGCGATCGTGTTCGTTCAAGCAGCCATCCGTAGTGCAGAAACGCTTTGCTCCTCGCAGCTGCCACGCTGTACTGTAGAGGCCTCAATAATTAGAACAGGGTATTGCGGCCCATTATATATAATTATTAGTAAGGAACCCCGAAAATAGTACTGGTAATTAATTAGGCCCGTACATTGCCACCCCCTTATCCGTGGGAATGTTGGCAGACAACTCGCAGAGGAGATTTGTTCTCAAGTTTGCAACTGCCAGGTGCCGATGATGAGCTGATAATTGATTCTGAGCTTGATTTTGTGGCCACCCTCCCCCCTTCCCCCACCAAAGCCACCAGAAGTCCTGAAGCTTTAAGACGACCCCTTATCCTGGAGCCCAAGAGAAGCTTAGACGGAGGCTTTCGGCTGCAAGCCCGCTAAAGATCTCAGGATTTTTCGCCCAAGGGCGGGCCCAAGGATGCTGTTGCCAAGTGGGACGGTGACGGCATCATTTTCCCAGATGCTCGGAGCTACAGGACTTCGAGGGTCTTATGAGCAGCCTGTGGCTTGTTCCGGGGATATGTTAAATTAAAGCTCAGGGTTTTTGGTGTTGCATGGTCTCGAGGCTTTGGAGTAAAGAACCTCGGTTTGACGTTTGCACACGCACGGCCCAGGACATCGCAAATGTAAGCTTCAGCTCAGCTACAGCAAAATACCATGGCGGCAGTGATTGGCCAAGAGTTCAAGTGGACTAAGGATGGCAACAGGTGGTCCAAGATCAAGCGCAAGCCGGAGGAAGCAGCAGACACCTACCTCGACGGCCCATCTTCGCCTTTGGCCAAATTCCGTTAAGGTGCGTTTTCATGCACCTGACCCTGGCACCGATTTGGGAGAGACTTAGATGGCGAAAAAGGAAGGGCTGCATGCAGCATGCACCGACTGGCATCCACTCTTGTGCCACATCTGTTCGATCTACGCATCTACTTCATTTGCTCAAACCTCGACTGTACATGAAATCCAGAATACGAATGCAACTAAGAAGTAAGCCAAGCAGTAGACAATCGTGGCCGATTGTTGTCAACGAGTCTAGGAACACAGCTGCCTTGCCATGCCGGCGTATCCGTATCCGGGCACACAAGAAAGCAGCTGGTTTCCTGCGCTGGCATCCACCTTTCTTGCAGTCGCAGTGGTACTGTCTGATCAAGCCCAGACGATCCTGCCGGATGACTTCGTCTCACATGCCCTAAGCAACCTAACTTGGCAATTCAGCCAAAACCGGGTGTGGCAGATTGAGGGAGGTGCTAAGCGGTGCGAAAGCAAAACAGAACTGCATTAAACATCAGCCAAGGTTGCGGGATTCTGGCCATGACCTTTTTCTGCATGTACATCCTTCTCAAGTCCAGCTTCAGTCGTCGCCAGGTGGCGAAGCGACCTGTTAGTCACAGCAGTGTGTCCGAAAGGCAGGACGGGGAGAAGTCGCTTCGGATCCTGCGCGGCGTGATAAAGAAATACTCTGAAAAGAAGGAATGGGGAGTTGTCGGAGTGCGAGAGTCTGAGTCCGACTCAGAGTCCGACGACGAGACGATGGTCCGCTTCATGCGCAGCGAGCGAGACCGCGTGGGCTTGCAGCCTGGGGACCACGTCATCTTCCGGGCAGTCCCGGATCCCCAGATGAAGGGATGGCTGCTGGCAGAGACGATCTGGAAGGCCCCTCCCGAGGATCTTCCGGGCGAAGTCAAAACTAGTGTACCTGTTTCGAAATGTCTTGCCGGGGAAAGGTGGAAATGAATCAAGTGTTCAGGGTCTGCTGTATGGCGATAGCGAGAGGAGCTGGGTTTCAACTTCTTCCGGAACCTAAATCTGTGTGAGCCGAAGTTCACCAATCGTCCAGGAGGCAAGCAAGCTCTCGAGCAAGCCGGACTCTCTCGCAAAGCGAAAGGTGCCTCAGACTGTTGGAAGAGAGCCCCGGCAGAACAGGCCGAGAGCCTGGTTTTTGAGGGCATTCAGTTACTTTCATAGACTTGACGGGTATCGAAAGGATCTTCAAAACTTGCCAGCATATCATGTTTTCAGGATAGGGGTTCTGGAGAAACATGGTGCAGCGCTGATCGTCCGTGAATTTGGACCTCCTCTCTCGCCGCGAGTCAGTGCAAGTCCAGCAAGAGAGGCCCAAGTTTCGGGGGCTTGGACCCAGAGAGCCCAACTTACCCCTTAATTAAGGAATGGACCTTAAATCATAATATTAAGGCCAACATAGTTTAGGGTATATTCCTTATTTAAGGGGTGTTGGGCTCTCTGGGGAAGTTCAGGCTTTGATCGCGGAGTCCAAATCTGCACCTCTCAGCCAAGGCGGACTGAGGGCAGCCAGGCAACAAAGTGCGGTGGACTTCCGAAAGACGAAGTCTGCAGCCCCTTGGCACTGTTTAGAGCTTGCTCGCCGGAGTTCAGGGACTTGACGGTACCATGATACTGATATCTATCATGTCAGTATCAGGCTATTGTGGTAAGCATCGTTGTTCTCCCTTGTTGGGCTCCAATCGCTAAGCGAATACACAGGAACCTCTGGCTTTGGGTTTCAGCCGCGTGTAGGCTGCGGCTTGCAAGCGGCTTTTGTTCATGCTTTTACTTGTGTGGGCTACTGGATGCTGGCCCACGATTTCGATTCAGTACCACGAGATCGACATGTTTGGCTCGTCTCCGGGACATAGGTGTGAAGCCGGGTCAGTCATGACTGCAGCATCTTTGAAGCGCCTTTCATGCATCGACAGCTATGCCGGTTGAAGCCTATGCTGAGGTGGATGGCAAAGATCCATTCGACAGTGCTGGCTTGAGCGTAGCTTCCCAACCGGCCTGTAGCAACGGCTTCAAAACTGCGCTGTCTTCAGTTCGAGCCATGGGTTCACTGAAGCCAAAGACCGAGTGCTGGGCCGTGTTCGAAAATCAGTGCCCGCCGAAGTCGTTCGTCGACCTTGGCCATGCAGACACCGCTTGTCTGGGTTCTTGTTAAGGGATTTAATATTATTTACTATAGATCCCTATCATGGTAACTGAAACTAAATCCCTTAACAAGAACCCAGTTGTTGCCTCCTTGCCGACACTTCCGCGTGCCGTTCTGCTCTGGAGTCAAGCAGGGACATGATCCTATAGTCTTGCGCCATGTGTGGGCAGCCGGCTGTCGTGCCGAGCCGGTAGGTACATCAGCAGCGATGGCCGCCATGCCCGCAGAGATGATGCCAATGTCGATGCCAATGTCGATGCCGGCCCCGGCACTGCCGGAGGCACCTGCAGCGCCAGATTCCTTCAATCAAGCTCTTGCGGCTGCTGCTGCACAAGCGACTCAACAGGCTGTGTGCCGGTCGCACCGATCGATGTTGATTGGCTGTCGAACTTCTAGAAATGTGCCATTGACGCAGTGACGCTCTGAGGCAGCGGTTCAAGCAGCAGCAGCCCAAGCGGCAGCTGCTCAAGCGGCAGCTGCTCAAGCAGTGGCTCCCGCACCAGATGCTGACCCGAACGGGGCTTTGGCAGCTCTTGCTGCGGGAGCGCCTGCCTTATTCTGCTCAGAGTAGATATTCGCACAGTGGCAGACAAGAGAAGAAATGCAGAACTACTGCGAAAGACTCGAACGATGTTTTGCCAGGTTCCTGGATTCCCAATGCTGGCAGGATATCCTCAGCTAGCTGCTGGCTGTGGCGGGACCGTGCCGTCCTCGGCCAGGTCATGTTTTGACAAGAACTTCGTTGAGCAAGTGCCTCAGGTGCCGCTGTTGGACCCCGCGTGCTGCTCCCAGAGTTCTGCTGTCTTGAAGGTTGCCAAGAGCTGGTGGCAGTGGTTGTGAGGATGGTGGTGATGGCGGGAATGGCATGCCAGTACGAGTCGTACCCAGTAGCGCAGCGAAGGAGTAGTCACGTAGTCTTTAGCCGTAGTAGCCGTCGTCGTAGTGGCAGTGCTGGTGCTATTGCTGGTGGCAGTCGGAGTGGGAGTGGTACTCAATGCTTAGCAGTGCTGCTAAGTCGTGGTAAGCAGTAGCAACTAGTAGTAGTAGCAGTAGTAGTAGTAGTAGTAGTAGTAGTAGTAGAGTAGGAGGCGCCCCCCGTACCAACCACCTCTCCTTAACTATTTGTCGTAGTCGTAGTCGCAGTAGTAGCGGTAGTAGTAGAAGTAGGAGTAGTCGTCGTCGTCGTAGAAGTAGTAGTAGTAGTAGCAGTAGCAGCAGCATCTGCAGCAGCGGTGGTAGTGGTGTTAGCAGCAACAGTAGATTTCGTCGCAACCCAACGCATCAAGTCCATGACTCAGTGCTGCTGCCATTCTTCCGAGCGAGCCGCGGCTAAGGTATGCTCAGCTGCAGACTGCTGCACTGTGCGGCCTTCGGCTTTTATTTCAGGATTCCAGAGGCTACAGTTGTAGATCGCACAGGCTTACACTGTCACATCGCCCAGCTGACAGGAACGCATCCCCTCTCCCCCGTGGCACCTGGCCAACTGCAAACATTGCGCTCAGTTGCAGGTACCAGTACGCGGCGCTGGCTAGCCTGACGCAACAGACTGCCGGACTAGCGGAATTCACAGACCTCACCGGCGCGTCCAAGCAAGCAGCCATGTCTAAAGGCGGCACCGAGCATCATATCGTAAGTACATAGCCAATTCCCTGAATCGATGCGGCATTGGAACAGGGCATGTTGGTTCTTCAGATTGAGTTCTAGCGCCAAGAGCTAAGTGCTCGAAGTTCGGCCTTCGGGTGCAGGGCATTGGGCATTCTGTTCCTCCCATGGCCAAAGCAGTTTCTGCTGTAAGACGTGTCCCACGATCCACCGTCCTCTTGTTGTATTCTCATTCTGAAATGCATCTTTGCAGCAAGCCTCGGTGAACTGGTTGAGGCCTACTGAGATACAGTCGCACAGCTATCCTGAGCCGTCGAGAGCCAACCGTCGGGCCACCTGAACTTCCAAACGCCTTAGCCTCCTGCGACTGTAAAACCTAAACCACAGCAGCAAGCTCACAGCTACAGGCCTGAAAGCTAAAACCAAACGTTCAGAAAGCCCAGAGTTCTGAGAGTCTAAAGCCAATGAATGCTTGCGCAGGCCCATCTTGGATAAAGCCCGGTGACTGGAATTGCAAGAGCTGTGGAGATCTACAGTTCGCGAGAAACAGCAAGCGTGGATCTCGGCGCTTTTTTCAGGTTCGCATCAGGAACTCGCCGTCCAGATGTTGATACATCCACCAATCAACCGCAACCTGTCTCTGTATGTGCATATCTTGATGGGGGGATATCATTGTGAGATGTTTCCTTCAACGAACTTTCATTTAACTAAACTTCTAAAGCATGCGGTCGATGGGTGGCCCCACCCATATCCATGCACCTATCTTTTTGTCGGCTGTTTGTTTGCAGCTCTCTCTCTCTCTCTCTATGATGAACCCATGTAGCTATTCCCCAGTGCACAGACATCCAAACTCTGGGTGGCTCCACGAGTGCAGCATAGACTTAGTGCATTTTGGGGGATGGGTTTTTGGCTGAAGGCGTGGGTGAGGTTTCGGCTTCCAGGGTTCCAGTTCTACTGGGGCAAAGCCACCATGGACACCACCCTACAGCCCCGCCTAGTAGAAACCCATGAACCCCAAACCCCCTTAGGGTTTAGGGTTTAGGGAATCGAAACCCCCTGAAACCCCCTTACTTTAGGGAATCGAAACCCCCTGAAACCCCCTTAGGAGCCCGAAGCCCCAAAAAGAGAAAGCGCCCCTAAGATGCCGGCGCTGTGGGGCCGACAAGCCCTCCGAAGCCGAGATCGCCGCCCAGGCTTCCAGGTTCTGGTTTAGGGGTTTAGGGCTGAGGGT